GAACAACGGCGGAGTTCATTATATAGGCTTGCTGGGTCCGCTGAGCACCGGCCCGCCCCGGCCCGCCCCGCCGTCGTTGTTCCCGCCGCGACAAATGTGGCGTAATTAATGGCCGGAATGATAACCGTCTTGCGACATATGGAGAAATACCTGCGACCGAGCGTTCCACCGTTCTCACAATATCGTGCCGGGCTGTGTTTGCTCGATGGAATGACCGACGGTTGTTCGCCGTTCCGTTTGTACGACGATGACGGCCCTCCGGAAAAATTCGTGCTAGAGAAAGCCGCGCTTCCGATCGGCTCGACGAGGATGTCGCTAACGAGAGGCTCGTTCTGTTATTAGCGCTTCGATCTCTGGTATTTATAGTGCCTCGATGCGAGCATTTTTCGACGACGCGCGCGGATACTCGTTCCGCGGCGATTGCGGCATTAAATCTCGCGGCACGTTTGCATTTGCATTTGCATCGTGTACGCCGCAATATCGCACGATCGCTGTTTCGCGTTAGAGAGAATTTCGAATTTTAACGTAGGAGCAGCTCGAATTTAATAATAATCGATACGCGCGATATTTGTCACCGGCGAACGCCGCGTTGTTTCGCCGTTGAAAAAAGCAGCTTCGAACGAACAGCGGACAAATTTCGCGTCGACGATAACGCGCCGCGTCGTCCGATTTGATTCGACACCGAAAGCGATATCGGCATTCTTTAAAGCGATCGTAAATCAATCGCCGCGTGTTTGCGCATTTATGCGACCTGCATCCGCATAAATCAACGTTCCCTCGCGGTCTGTTCTAACAAACTTCGCCGTCGCTTCCAGCTCATTCTTCCAAACAAAGAATCCTCAGCGAAACAAATTTCGTTCGCCGGCCCGTCCAGCGAAAATAGCGCGGCCGGATCCAACTAGCCGGTGTTATAAAAATCGGGCCGGAAACAAGTGGCGAACGTAAACGCCGCGAAAAATAATCGCTCGATGCTCATCGCGCGCGCGCGCATACTTAATCCCTATAAATCAACATCTGTTTTCCTCCGCGTTCAAGGAAAACATACCGCGATACGAGTTCTTTGATGCCGCCTGTCCGCCGCTGATTTACGAGGATCCGCGGAGGATCCGCGCGCGTTTGATCGTTGCCTCAGGAGGGCCGCCGATTCTCCGCGGCGGTCTGTCCGCACGCGACCACCGCCGCATCCCCGTCAACCGTAATCGCAATGAGCCACGGGCTCGTGAAAATAGCTCGTCCATCTGCGGTGCACATGCATCGGAGTCGGAATAATTCGATGATGATTCATCGCGGTCGCCGCGGGCGATCGTTCGACGCGGCTTCTTCGGCCGATCTCCGTGCCGCGATAGGCTTTTCGTCGACTATACGGGAAATTTCACGGTGTTTCGCAAGCGGCGCGTCTTCCCGCAGAGTGATTCAATCGGTTCGGAGATATGTATTGGGTTGGGGAATAAGTTCGTAGCGTTCTTATTATCAAGCAATTTAAGTGCAATTTTCTTTGTTGTTTCCGAATTTTTCGGCAAATCCCATTGAACGAAGATGATTGAGAATCGTTTTACGATCGCAGTTCATTTTTTCGGCCAATTCACGACTCGTTCGGTGATCGTCCTCCTTCGAAAGTGCTTTGAGACGCTCTTCGTCGAATAAAAAGTCTTCCGCTGCTGGGCGTGTCGTCGACGTCGAAATCGCCATTTTTGAACTTCGCAAACCATTTTTGTGCTGTAGACTCGCCTATGAAACCTTCTCCGTATACGTTGCGAATGTCCCGGGCTGCTTCAGCAGCTTTTTGGCCTCGATAAAAAGCGAAGAAGAGAAGCTGTCGAAAATGTTGCTTTTTACCTTCTGGATATTCCATTTCTAAGCCTCGATAGTAATAACAAGTTAAGTTACTCGAAAAGACGATTAGCACAGTTTTGTAGAGCAGAAAGAGCTCTGTCGAACGAATATTATACACTTTGTCAAACAGCAAAAAATCGTTGTGAAATAGAAGAAAATATAAGAACGCTACGAACTTATTCCCCAACCAAATAATTCGTTCGGTGAACGAATTACACGCAGAAGACCTTCGGATTCCGTGAAATTTATTGCTCCGTTATTCTCGCGGTGATCAGTCATGCAGCTATTTCGCTGCAGACGAATGCGAGTCATTCATCAGCCGGGGGATAAATTTGCGAAGTATTTGTTTCCTTGGACGAATCCTTCGGGTTTTGAGATCCTCGAAATCGGCGCGAACCGTCCTATAGGTTTCTTTGCTCGGATTTAGAATCGTGTAAGAAATTGGACGATCTTCTTGGACGATTCGAGTGCTCGGAATATTTTTAACGAAGTCGGATTATGAAATTTAATGCTCCGTTGTTATCGTGTCTATTGAACAGTGACGCAGGTATTTGCTGCAGGAGATTCTCCCATTCATCATCGAGAGAATATTCGGATTTATTTTCTCAGCGAATTTCGGCTCGTGGGATCCTCGAATTAGCTCGTGCTCGGTTTCAAATTGTTTTCAGAAAGGGGCCCAAATTAATGGTACTAGTATATTCTAAATATTTCGCTTTTTAGGTTCGATCAAAAATTCTGAAGCGTTGCAGCCGCGTCGTGAATTTCAATCTAACCCGGAAAACCGGGAAATTTGCTTTCCGAACGATCGGCCTATCGGTTCGTTGATTGGGTAATAAATTTCGCCGAGACAGTTTTTCGCAGCAAGACTGCTCGAGCCGCGTTCACCATCGGCTGGCTCAGGTAATAAGCGTTCTCGAAGGTGGCTCTGAAACGCTGAGAACCGACCCACTTTCGTAATTACTCGTTCATTGTTGCGGCGATGTATTGGCTGGTTCAGCGTGGCGTACACCAGGCCTTACGTGACCGACGCTAATCGAATCAAACCTCGTTGACGCCGGGTCATCGTTGCACAATGACGGATCGACAACGGTGGGTGGCGGATCGAAACAAATCCTTGCTTCGGATTCGCCAAAACGCGTCTTCATTAACATACTCGTGTTCTTCGGGCTTCGGAGCAGAAGACTCGCAACAATCGCAAACACGAAAAGCGCGAAACTGTTCGGGATTTCGGGACGATCGCGTCGTTAGCGTATAGGTGCGCTTGATTTACTTGGTTATCATCGTTTGAGTGCACTTTGTTCGCTTTTGGGTCCACGTTTCGACGTAAATTTTGGAATGAGGACACAGTATTCGCACTTCCAGACACAGAAATGACGGAGATCGTGCTACAAGTTTTCAGTTTAGGCTTTTGACTATAGTTGATTAGAGAATTTTCAATGCTGAAACTTTTTGAAACATTGCTGTTCATTGTTTTAACAAATGCAGCAGACAAAACTGCTGCTTGTTTAATTTTTATAGCTGCCTCGGCATTTAAAAATTGATGAATAAACGTTAAAATCATCATTGAAGCATTTTTGGTGACTGTTTCAAAAACTTTCAGAAAAAGAATTATTTCTTGTTCGATGTCCACGATTGTCCTGTTATTAAAAAATTGACGAATCAAAGTTTCGATGGAAATCATCTTGAATCATTCGTTGGCGAGTGTTTTTAAAGCTTCGAGAGGTCAAATTTCTTTCCGTCTAATTTTTCACTGCCCTTTCGTTCAGAGGAGGAACGAAAATGTTGCGAACGAAATCGTTCTCAATGATTTTTCCGTCACTCCCATGGACCGGAGTTTGAGCGCGACAACATGGCGGCCGATCGAAGGAATCGTCGATCCGGCCAGCACGCGGTTCGTTCAGTTTCTCCGTAGCCGCGCGGGGAGGACAAAGAGCAGCCATGGCTCCTCGTACGGTGAATTTAATGCGGAAACCCGTTTCGACTTTCACAACTGGCAGCAGCTCAAAGCCGCTCACTGTTTGTGGGTTCGACGAACACCGTAGAACGGGCCGCAGAGAACTCCGTGCAGAGCGTTGCACAAACCTAGGAATTTCTCTCCCTGTTTGATCTGGTCACTGACACGAAATTTTCAGTTCCCTTCCGCGCCGTTGACTCTCGCTCTTTCTTAGAAGGCTCGAACGAAACGTCGAGCAAGAGCTGGACACGTCGGAGAATTTTTTTTATCGAAAATTTTCACTGAGATTACAATGTTACTATTACATTACTGCAACATTTAATTGTTACACTGTTATATTATTATTCTATTACACTGTTCCACTGTTACATTGTTACATTGTTACACTGTTGCACTGTTACATTATTAAACTATTATACTGTTACACATACAAGCTGTTATATTAACAAATAGAACTCGAGGAAATCGTGTCACTTGATACTAATTAATTATATGTATATTACATGTATATAATGAATAACTATATTGATACTAAGGCACGTTCTGGAAGCTCATAAAATTTTTTACGCTTCGGGTCCCACGAAATCGTTTCAAAGGAAAGTCACGTGCTCCAGGCAGGCCAATCAAAATTATACAAGATAATTGCACTGAAAACTCCAAATATAGTTCGATATAAAGTTGCATCATTTTCACAATGTCAATATCAAAGTAGATTTTCGCATCACATCAATTTTAGAACGCTTAAATTAGCACAATTTGAGTCTCTCATAAAGTTCCAAATTAGAATCACATACTTTCGGTCAGTATAAAAATGATCAATAAAATCTGCTTCGTCTTACATCGTACTGAAAATTTACAAACACGATTTTGAAGAATTCTTTTGCAAAGAAAATCGACAAGAAGCATGACGACGAAAGCACAAGTTCAAAACTTTGATTTTACCGAACGAATTACAAACTGTCGAGAAATTATCGCTCTGGTAATTTATCATTTAACATAATTATCGAGTATTTAACACCAGAGTCCAGCGAGAAAATATCGGAGTCGTGGTCCCAGCGTCTATAGAATCGATGAGATTTTTTCGAAGCGATTAACATCGGGGACTCTAGAAAGCTAGCCGACGGAGGCCTAGGCATTTCTCGGAGGAAGCCCCGAGCGAAAACCAGTTTTCGGAGGATCACCTCGTATCACCAGGGCGCCGTGACTGTTTCAGGTCCAGGAGCGATTGGAGGATCCTCCTCTCCACGTGAAACCGGTATGCTCGTCCGTCTGTGACATCGTCGACGAGGTCTGCCACGCGCTCCGCGCCTCCAGGGACGAGAACGCGCGGGAACTTACGCGACTGCTGCGAAGCTCCCACCTGAAAGCTCTTCTGGAGACGCACGACGCGGTCGTCGAGAGCAAACGAGCACCTGCGAAGCCGCAACCATTGCCGCCGACGATGCCCACCAACGAGAGGACAGAGGCTGTGAGGATGGTTGGCCTTAGACGGCAGCCCGACGAACCTCTGGTAAGCTCTCTTCGAGTTCGTCTGCTCTGTTTAGTATTTTAGATCGCGACCCTGCGATTTGAATTGACTGCAGGCGTGTCTGTTGCTTTAGCGACAGGTGAAAATTACCATCGACAGATGTTTAAGCAGTTAGAGATCAAGTTAGAATCGAGCGACGACGAGTATACTCGTCAAACACAGAGTAAGCGTCGATGTTGAAGTATTGGATGAGAAAGACGATTTTATTTTATAAAATTAACAATTTTATTAGTGATATTTAATTATTCTCTTAATATTAATATGTAATATATACATAATGAACAGAGAGGAGAGAGAGAGAGAGAGAGAGAGAGAGAGAGAGAGAGAGAGAGTCTAATCTGATTTTTATAATAATGTATTCTATATCTATATTTATATTTTTATAACTTTTTATTCTATTTTTATTCACTATATTTTATTTTGTTATATATTTTATTATTTACTATATTTTATTTTATTTTAGTCATATTTACTATAACTATTTATATTTTTATATCTATATCTATATTTTTATAACAAAATATCCTAAACATCTTGAAATTTCAGAATATGTTTTTATTTTCACTAAAATTACGATTTAAATAAACACAGAATACAGTAAATTCTCCCTAATTGACGCTCAGCTTCGAAACGAAAGTAGACAGTTTGAGAAGAGGAGACACGATTATCCGAGGCTCGCGGCTCGATTTTATAGTTACCGATTGTCAACAACTACGAAAACAAATCGCGAGACTCGAACGATCGTATCTCCTTTTCCCAAATTGTCCATTTTTGTGGACAATCTAAGCGTCAATTAGAGAGACATTACCACTTCTCCATGACGAGTATACACGTCGACACACAGCTAACTGGTTAACGAATGACGACACCATTGTTCATACGATTGTAAATTGTAGTTAAAACATGCTTTCATTTTAATTACTCGTTCTAGAGCTCAAAGCTTGCACTTCTTCGCGGATCGTTGAAATTTAAACGGAAGCGAAAAGAAGGTCCGAGTTCCCGTAATTTTGCTTTCCCTACAATGCAAACTGCTTTTCATGCGACGCTTCAATTAGATCCTTCAACTGCCGCTAAACATACGTACACTCCGGTAGAAATCATTTGTTCCGACACAAGCGTGGCAATTTGTTAGGAAGATTGCGCCCATAGCGGTGGCACCCACAGTCCGATCTCCGGCCGTAGAACCGCGAGCAAGGATTGGAAAATCGTTTCTTCGAACGTTTTTGCCACGCGAAATCCTCCCACGTGTTCGCGCAGCCCCGCCATTTGTTTCCCGGCCGGTGGCAAATGAAGAAAGTGGAGGACGCGTTCGGCAATTAACAAAGAAGCCGTTGTTCGCGCGGACTTTCTCAGCCGCGCGCGGCCACTTCTGTGGCTGTTTACCATTCCGTCACGTGAGAGAATTCCCATTCAGAATCGTACTCGATCGCGCGAAGAAAAGACGGAAATGACAGTACTGCGGCATACTACTTGCCTCAGCACGTAAATACGTTCGTTTATTATCGTCGCTGTGCGGTGCCACGTGCTCGACACGGACGACTTCCATGCGTTCCAGACTCTCGGCCGACTCTGACAGCTTCGTTTGATGGCGAGAAAGAGACGGTAGAATCGTAGATGGAAATCGTAAAAAGATATTAGAAGACCCGGATGACCTCTATGTGCAGCTTCCACTCGTCGGAAACGATGCACCTCTCAAATATTGCACCGATCTCGCAATCTTCGGGGGATTTCGAAATTCTTCAACCTGAAACGTTAACGCAAAAGCTGCCATTTTTCATAGAAAATTACTGAATACGTTCCTTAATCAGAGCATACATTTCATTAAAACTATCGGAATGTGCAAAGAAACATTCGATAGATTGAATGTCAAAAGTTGAGAATTTCTTCAGTAAACATTAGCATCAAATGCTATTATCTGCTTTTTAGAGAGACAAATGTTGACTGTTTCATCTTCAAGGGGGAGTTCCTCACTTTTACCAAAACTGGAGATTGTGTGAAGAAGAGTATAGACGCGTTTAGCACAGGCAATCTTCGTCAGGACGCGTTTGTTGACTCGTGTCTGCGTTTTCGTAGGGTCTGACGGTGCAGGTCGACGAGTCCGGCAACCTGATAATTGCCAGGATCCTGGGCGGCAGCACGGCAGCCAGGCAAGGACTCCTCAGGACCGGCGAAGTGATCCTCGAGGTGAACGGAAAGGATGTCCGCAACCCTGAGGAGCTTCAAGAAGCCATTCACGAGGCGAAGGAGAACCTCACGCTGAAGCTGGCGCCCGGAATAGCGAGCGATGGCAACCGGCCTGTCAAATCGACGGTGAGTGAATTTATTTTATTTCATATTCATTATTTATTTGTATTTTATTTCAGTCATTTTCGAATTGCTAGACCGACTGGAAGCCGACCGGTGCAAGTCCATTAACCTTAAAATTCAGGAAAATAAGGATTTCGCGAATCGGCTGAAAAGAAAAGACAACAATGCCACTAATAACGCAAAGCACAATTTTTATTACAAGATGCCATATAAATAATTGTAACCAGAAGAGAAACGAAAGAAAACTGTCGGCGCTTTTTTAGAAAAGGCAGCTCCCTGCGAACAATATCGTTCATTCATTTCGTGGTCGATGTAAGTGCTGCTGTCCAACGTTTATTTATAAAGACGTCGGCTATATTGATTTATCGATCGAATGATCGCACGATAGAGATGTGTTTGCAGCGATCGTAACTCATTTTCAAAGAAAAGTGGTCTCGCACTGATTGGCTTTCGAATCGTCCGTGTAAACTATAACACGAGCTGGAACTTCTATTTTCCGCCGACATTTTCTTCTCAATTTCATGGAATCAGCGGTGCATTCAATCTTGCTGAACGCGCCATTGTGTCCAGAAGTCTGTTGCAGCGGAAAGCTAGAGTTTCGTTTTGTCGGGGAACGTTTTATGATTCTGTTCTGGCAATAATATTTCGCGCCGCATACTTGGAACGACCGGATAAATCGCGCAAAGATCGAATCTAATCGGCTCGCGCCGACTTTCCCGCGGTCGATATTTTAAGTGACCGCCGCTGGCTGATGGAGGTCCATGATAAACGATGATCGTAGGCGGTTTATGACGGCGTAAACGTCCGCTAGAAAAACTGTGTACGGTTTCGCACGTTTACATCGCAGTCGCGAAAGTGCCGATTTAACGGAACCGCGCGACGCCTTTGCCACCGATTTTTCACCGTCGGCCACGATCACGACGATCGGACGAAGTTTCATAAACATGTACCGCGATCTCGAGCTTTTACTGCTTTAAGTTCATGTTCATCGTCGCGAGATTTGTTTCCGTTGAAAACAGGAATTAAAGCGTCAGTTTTGGTTGATAGAAACCTCTAAAACTAATATACGTATATGGTTTNATTTTCTTCTCAATTTCATGGAATCAGCGGTGCATTCAATCTTGCTGAACGCGCCATTGTGTCCAGAAGTCTGTTGCAGCGGAAAGCTAGAGTTTCGTTTTGTCGGGGAACGTTTTATGATTCTGTTCTGGCAATAATATTTCGCGCCGCATACTTGGAACGACCGGATAAATCGCGCAAAGATCGAATCTAATCGGCTCGCGCCGACTTTCCCGCGGTCGATATTTTAAGTGACCGCCGCTGGCTGATGGAGGTCCATGATAAACGATGATCGTAGGCGGTTTATGACGGCGTAAACGTCCGCTAGAAAAACTGTGTACGGTTTCGCACGTTTACATCGCAGTCGCGAAAGTGCCGATTTAACGGAACCGCGCGACGCCTTTGCCACCGATTTTTCACCGTCGGCCACGATCACGACGATCGGACGAAGTTTCATAAACATGTACCGCGATCTCGAGCTTTTACTGCTTTAAGTTCATGTTCATCGTCGCGAGATTTGTTTCCGTTGAAAACAGGAATTAAAGCGTCAGTTTTGGTTGATAGAAACCTCTAAAACTAATATACGTATATGGTTTTCTTCTATGTGTGGGTCGTCATAGTGTGCGGCGACCCGGGCCCTTAAATCGTTTCACTGAATACGATTGCTTTCTTTACAGATCGAAGTAAAATACTGTTCTTCCGTAAATATAATGTTCGAACGTTAAAATGTAAGACGCGAACAAATGAGTTGAAATAAATACAAATCTTTCCTTAAACAAACGATTATAAGCAAAGAAGTTTGTGTCATTGTGACCACGAAGAAAATAGTACAAGAGATACAGCTATCAATAATTTTTTCAAAATCGGATATCCATAATTCGTATACTTTTTGGATCGCAAAAATTGTCTAAATTATATATATATATAATAATAGATATATAATTAATTATATATAATTATATATATATAATAATAGATATATAATTAATAGATATATAATTGCGAGGATCACAAATTAGATGAAATGATTTCCTGTTTTAATCATTCTAAAAAGATGAAAATATTTCACCTATCCATTTTAACCAGTTAGTTGTTTTTTACGAGCATATACTTTGATATTCTTGATTAAATTATATATTTCTTAAAATACTGTTCTATTTAAACGAAATATAAAGAAAATAATACATGCACAGTATAATTGCAATAATTTACAGTTCTCAAAGAGATTGCAATAAATAATTAATAATTCTAATTAATAATTCTAACAATTCTAACATTCTAAAGTGAAATTTCCGAATGCTTTCAGTGTTACATGAGAGCACTCTTCGACTACGACCCTGCCGAGGACACGCTGTTGCCTTGCAGAGAGATCGGGCTGCCCTTCCAGAAGGGCGACGTGTTGCAGATCGTTGACCAAGCGGATCCAAACTGGTGGCAAGCTAGACGAGTCGAGGGAGAGGGTCTCGGTCCGCCGGGTCTGGTCCCGTCCCTGGAGCTCGAAGAACGCCGGAAAGCGTTCGTTCCGCCGGAAGCCGATTTCGTCCATAAGATCAGCATCTGCGGCACCAGGATCTCCAAGAAGAAGAAGAGGAAGATGTACCAGTCGAAGTCCAACGGCGAGTTCGACGGCGCGGAGCTGCTTTTGTACGAGGAGGTCGCGAGAATGCCACCTTTCAGGCGCAAAACGCTGGCCTTGGTCGGTCCCAGGGGCGTGGGACGCAGGACCCTGAAGAACAGGCTGATCAACAGCGATCCTGAGAAGTTCGGCACCATCGTCCCATGTAATTTTCATTCTTCGCACTAGATCCACGCTTTCGCTGCTATGCTAGGAAAGATCTTCGCGTGGCGGCTTCAATTTTCTCCTTTGCATTCCTAGTTCTGAAAAACGCCAGCATCCGCATGGAGCACGTAATGCTCAAGGTTATATTGCAGCGGTATCATGTAGAAAGTCAGATTGATTTTATTCGTCCTTCGCCGTATCTGTGTGAAAGTAAAACGAAGAGTCCGCCTCGTTCAACTGGTTATCCAGGCTTCTATGTTATTTAATAATCGTTCCGGCGATTCCACGCGTCTCCTTTTTAACTTTTACACTGCCGAGGCTCTTCCAGACTCGGCTCGACACCGCTGCGACGTTACAACCACGTAATTTTAGTTAATTTGGCTAAATCTTTTTCTTGCTTCTCCGATGTCTTCATCTTCCGAGCTACATGATACCAGCGCGAAAAACAGAGAAATCTGGAGATCGAGTTCAAGCTTAATGTAAAATTGATTTTTCAATGATTTTACGTGTATCGAGTTCCTAGTCAGCAGAAGAACGTTGTTAACACTGTGTTTACTGGGATTATAATTAATTGGATTTTATAGAGGAATTTTCTTAATGTTGTTCCACATGATATCCTCGGACGAAATCATTAGATCATTATTAATAGAGATGGCTTGTGGAACATAATTGAAACTGCTGTTGATATTTATCAAGTAGTAAAATAAAAAGATAACCTTAACTATAAATTGTAGTTTTTAAAATGTTATGAAACAGGTAGATAATATAATAAATAGATAGTATATAATAATATAGTAGATAATAGAGTAGATAGTAGATAATATATAATAAACAGATGTTAAGAAAGATAAAATTCAATTGATAAAGCTGCATACTTGTGTATGAATATTTTTGCCAATTGTTCTGCAAGTATAAGTAGTGCAAAATATTTGATTAAATGAAATCATTAGATCATATAATTAGAAACGGCTTATTGGAACGTAATTCAAATCGCTATTGCCAATGAAGAATTTATTAAGTATTTCCTTACTATAAATTGCAGACTCGCAAAAATTATGAATAATAAACACACGTGTTAATAATATTAAATTGATGAAGCTACATACTTTTGTACGAATATTTTTTCCAACAGTTCTGCAATTATGAGTAGAGAAAAATATTTAATTAAACAAAATCATTAGATCGTACAACTAAAAATTGCTATTGCCAATGAGGAATTTATTAAGTACTTTCTTGCTATAAATTGCAGACTCTCAAAAATTAAGAACAAAAAATATACACGTGTTAATAAAATTAAATTGATAAAGCTGCACACTTTTGTACGAATATTTGTACCAATATTTCTGCCGGTATTAGAAATTAAAAGCGTTTAACATATTATTAATGTTGTTCAGACACCTCGAGGCCTCCGAGAGTCCTCGAAGAGGACGGGAAGAGCTACTGGTTCACGGATCGCGACTCGATGGAGACGGACATCAAGGAGCACCGGTACCTCGAGTACGGCGAGCACGGCGGCCATCTTTACGGGACGAAGTTGGACTCGGTGCGGGAGCTAATTAGAGCCGGAAGGATGTGCGTGTTGGATTGCAGTCCGGCCGCGTTGAAGATCCTTCATAACAGCACCGAGTTCATGCCTTACGTGATCTTCATAGCCGCGCCCGGAATGGAACAATTGAAGTGCTTGTACGACCTTGGCCGGTCGACCGGCGCGAGCAGTCGAAACTTGATGGTAACTACGATGCTTAAACCGCCTTCTTCCTCCCTTTGTATTCTCCCGTGCGGCTCCAAACGATCTCGAGAATGCGTTCACTTTACGAGAAGCGAACTTCGAGCCGATGAAGACTCGCATCGGCGAACGGTTGCGTCGAGTCGCCGCGAAAATTCGGAATTTAAGGTTTAGGAATTCACTATAGCAACGCCGAATGGTCGAAAGTCAAAACACTGTTCGCAGTGTGTTCTGGTATGTGTCAGTATCGCGTGCAAATTTTTGATGCATACTGCAGTTGGCGGTTTTTACGATGAACGGTGTCCATCGAACGATTTCACAACGAATAGACTGCGGCTCGTTTCCATACGTGAATTTATAACAATTATAATTAGAGGAAAATTTCCGTCGTCGACTAAAAGATTGCTCGTTGTAAAAAGTATATAAAAATGCTGCGGAAGCTTGTCAATTTATACGTTTTCTTGGTACGTTTCAAATGTCCGTACGAACGCAGAAAGATCCGCAGTTCGGTAATAGCGATAAACTTTATTTAACGAATAAGTCAGTGAACGCTATTTCTGACGAGCAACATTAAATAGAGTATGCACTAAAAATTTGTCTACAATACACAGCATCGTTCGTAAACATATTCCCGAAGGCGTTTCAGTTCTGCGCCACTCCGTTCGCCGGTAACAAAATCCAAAAGCCGGCTTTGCCTTTCGACGATTCGACGTTACTATTTTCGGTCATCGCAAATGGAAACATCGTCTCGATGATCTGCGGTGGCCGTTTTATTTCGTGCAAGTAATCGTAGATCTCTATACATAGATTTGTGCTCGTCGTAAACGGTCGGGACCGGAGGAGGAGCGGTTTGAAAAATGGCCGCGGTGAGAACGTCGAAACGCCGGAGTGCCGAGAAATTAAAAAATAAATACCGGAGCCGCGATTAACAATAATAACCCGGCGATTCGATAAATGGAGTGCGAGGAATCGTTCGGGCCGCGCGTGAACGCTCGCTAAATATTATCGCGCCGGTCGTAATAATATTTTTGCGCCCGCGATGCAAATCGATTTCCGCGAAGGTTATATTCGCGCGGAACGATCCGGGTCCGCAAACAAATTCCTGGTAACGACGTTTTAGTGGTTCCCGGGTTCCTCGAGCCACGGCGACGGGAAAGAAACCGGGAAGAACGAAGTTCGCGAGTATCGCCCGCGCCTAAAACAAACAGGGCCATCAAAAACGTTTTACGACGCAACCACTCTCGAAACCTCTGCCTGCCGCCAGTCTGTTTGCCGTCGTTGTGTAAATGTCATTTAGTTACTGTAATCCGTATATCGCATGCACTTCCCGTTGATTGATGCGTTCGAACATCCTGCCACGGAAATCGTTGCGGACTGTTTTTCGCGAGGGTGCAGCATGCGTTTCGCTGGCACCAAAATGGCGTCCGGATTTAGACCTCGTTCCCGCTGCTGCTCGAAAATATTTCATTTCGTTCGTCGAGATCCTGAAATAGCATCAAACTAAAGGAAATTATCCTTAGGCAAATATTTTTTAATAATTATCCTTAATAATAATATTCTTATATATTTGCCTAAGGATAATTTCCTTTAGTNAATGGAACAATTGAAGTGCTTGTACGACCTTGGCCGGTCGACCGGCGCGAGCAGTCGAAACTTGATGGTAACTACGATGCTTAAACCGCCTTCTTCCTCCCTTTGTATTCTCCCGTGCGGCTCCAAACGATCTCGAGAATGCGTTCACTTTACGAGAAGCGAACTTCGAGCCGATGAAGACTCGCATCGGCGAACGGTTGCGTCGAGTCGCCGCGAAAATTCGGAATTTAAGGTTTAGGAATTCACTATAGCAACGCCGAATGGTCGAAAGTCAAAACACTGTTCGCAGTGTGTTCTGGTATGTGTCAGTATCGCGTGCAAATTTTTGATGCATACTGCAGTTGGCGGTTTTTACGATGAACGGTGTCCATCGAACGATTTCACAACGAATAGACTGCGGCTCGTTTCCATACGTGAATTTATAACAATTATAATTAGAGGAAAATTTCCGTCGTCGACTAAAAGATTGCTCGTTGTAAAAAGTATATAAAAATGCTGCGGAAGCTTGTCAATTTATACGTTTTCTTGGTACGTTTCAAATGTCCGTACGAACGCAGAAAGATCCGCAGTTCGGTAATAGCGATAAACTTTATTTAACGAATAAGTCAGTGAACGCTATTTCTGACGAGCAACATTAAATAGAGTATGCACTAAAAATTTGTCTACAATACACAGCATCGTTCGTAAACATATTCCCGAAGGCGTTTCAGTTCTGCGCCACTCCGTTCGCCGGTAACAAAATCCAAAAGCCGGCTTTGCCTTTCGACGATTCGACGTTACTATTTTCGGTCATCGCAAATGGAAACATCGTCTCGATGATCTGCGGTGGCCGTTTTATTTCGTGCAAGTAATCGTAGATCTCTATACATAGATTTGTGCTCGTCGTAAACGGTCGGGACCGGAGGAGGAGCGGTTTGAAAAATGGCCGCGGTGAGAACGTCGAAACGCCGGAGTGCCGAGAAATTAAAAAATAAATACCGGAGCCGCGATTAACAATAATAACCCGGCGATTCGATAAATGGAGTGCGAGGAATCGTTCGGGCCGCGCGTGAACGCTCGCTAAATATTATCGCGCCGGTCGTAATAATATTTTTGCGCCCGCGATGCAAATCGATTTCCGCGAAGGTTATATTCGCGCGGAACGATCCGGGTCCGCAAACAAATTCCTGGTAACGACGTTTTAGTGGTTCCCGGGTTCCTCGAGCCACGGCGACGGGAAAGAAACCGGGAAGAACGAAGTTCGCGAGTATCGCCCGCGCCTAAAACAAACAGGGCCATCAAAAACGTTTTACGACGCAACCACTCTCGAAACCTCTGCCTGCCGCCAGTCTGTTTGCCGTCGTTGTGTAAATGTCATTTAGTTACTGTAATCCGTATATCGCATGCACTTCCCGTTGATTGATGCGTTCGAACATCCTGCCACGGAAATCGTTGCGGACTGTTTTTCGCGAGGGTGCAGCATGCGTTTCGCTGGCACCAAAATGGCGTCCGGATTTAGACCTCGTTCCCGCTGCTGCTCGAAAATATTTCATTTCGTTCGTCGAGATCCTGAAATAGCATCAAACTAAAGGAAATTATCCTTAGGCAAATATTTTTTAATAATTATCCTTAATAATAATATTCTTATNATATATATTCATTTAATTATTATTAAGGATAATTATTATAAATATATATTATTATATATATTATTATATATACATATATAAGATAATATTCACTATAATAATATCCTTAACAATAATTATCCTTAATAATTATCCTTAGATGCAAATTCGTTTACGAGACAAATTTAATTTGTCGGTGGAAGATATTTTTATAGTAAAATACGATTTCGGCAGAAATTAATGAAATGCTGATCTGAAAATGTTCTTTTATTTTACACATTTTTAAACACCGTAAACGCAAACATTTCTTCGGACATTATTTTTATAAATTCTACAGAGAGATGGAAATTAATTTAGTTAACTATAAAATTGTTTACCGCGTGAAGTATCTTCGGCACATAATTAATATTTATTGGTCCGAACGTGTTCTTGCATTTTGAACATTTTAAAATACCGTAAATGCACAAAAGTGCATCTTTTTAGCTGCAACAGTACGGAAAAAGCTAGACGTACGAATCTTTGAATTTCTGAAATTCTTAAAAATGATGAAGCACTTTCGAGAAGCAGCGAACCGTTTCTAGCACGCTACGAACGTATCAATTATTATTATTAAACAACGATCGTTTCATTTCGAGAGACGATCCCGTGCATTGCATTCCCATAGACTTTGATCTCTGTTTTCATCTGCATTATATGACCACGTTCTTCTATTCGTTCTTTTGGCCCATTCGACCCCAGACCCCCCCACGCCCACGCCCAGTTTACGTAGCGTTCTTTATTTAATCTTTTGTATGTATTTGATGTTCGCTTCGCTAGTTTGACCGCGCGAGTTCCATCAGGTTCAGCTCGAGGAGAGCCAGGACGCTGGAGTCCCTTGCATCGTTGTACGAGGTTTGTATCAGCATGCAATCTTTTCTTCACGTAGCATCATACATGCATCGTAGTAATTCTATAGTGCATTGGTTGGTTTATCGTTTGCTAGTTTAATGCACTCTTATCGGAGAGAAAAACGGAGAGAAAAAGAGAGAGAGAAAAAGAGAGAGAGAGAGAAAGCTGTGGTGAGAATAGACGATTCACTTACAGCAACATTTACCTCGCGATCACAAATAATATTAGACAGAACACGCAAGAAATCGCTTTCAACACATCTCCGACATTTACATCTATTTCTCATTCAGTTCGCATAAAGTCGAGCGCAATCGATTCGATAGACACATCGATGTTCATTTTACGATTCACGGACACTGACTCGTCACCCGGGACACGACGACAGGTAACAAAAACACGGGGTCAAAGGTACACCGGTCGCAAACCACACTCAAATCCACTGTTCATGCACTGCCATTCCGCAGAAAATAAGCACCGCTTGGAACGCTCGATTAAGTCACGAATTAAGTCACCAAATTAGAGTCACAGAGACACACTGGAGGATTTACACAAAGACCCCGCGTTCGAATCGCGAAACAAGGTCGCAAACAGAGAAAAACAGTTCACCGCGGCACCATTAAACAAAGCAGATCCACGATAACCGATAGAAAGCGCACCAAGTTCCGCAGAATTCTAGATCACCCTAAATACTAACCTTTGTCGCGTCTCTGATCGACAGGAGGACGATCTGAAGTCCACGTTGGAGGAGTCCGCAGCGCTGCAACGCGCCTACGAGAAGTACATCGACCTGGTGATAGTGAACGAGGACTTCGACAACACGTTCCAACAGGTGATCGCCGCGTTGGACTGCCTAGCCACCGAGCACCAATGGGTGCCCGTGAACTGGATCTACTAGGGTCCTCTGGGCCCGGTGTCCCAAGGCCTTTGCACCCCGAAGCGCCGCGACTAACGAGGGAATGGACAGACGGACAGGACTAATTTTCGTTCTTTCGATCATTCCCGAGAACGTTCGAAACTCATCGATGCCTGTGGAACACGGGATGGTGACCTTCGTAGTCCAGAAGCCGGACTTCGACCTTCGGGCCGGCGATCTCGTGCCGACGATCGAGTGTATCGTTCTCTCTCGTGCAACGCTATCAGTTCTGTTTCTTTTTTCTTCTTTTTTAATCGTCGTACTATGTGTATAGGAAGCCTAGCGTGTTGTATGTATGTACATTGTGTCCCGGAATCTCCCTAATTTAATGGTACACTCGGCCGAGAGAACGCTGTCTCTCCGTGCGCAAGGGAAGCGGCCGGGGCTACGAAGGTTCGCGACCGTCAGAGAGGCAACAACCCCTTCATTGCCGTTTCTAGCAAGTACAATCATAGCATTTACGTTACGTTACGTTGTTTTAGGTTTACGAGCACGACCCGTTCCGCGAGATCCGACGAAGCGTTCGAGGCAACCGGTTGCCAAAATCCGCCTTCCGGCGTAGGCTCCGTTTCGTTGAAAGTCCATCGAGAGCCTAATTGAGAGTCGACGAAGCGCGCGAAACGATCGTTTTCATCGTTCGCCCGGTTCGTCCCGATTGTTACGCGACGTTTCTGCTGTGTCGCGATGCCGCGGAGAAAGAAGCAATCGCTCAAGAGTCGTGTCCGGCGCGGACGCGATCAATGGAAAATTGCTTTCTTTTCGTTACATTCCCTCCGGTGACGAAGCGCGACGGGAACGGGTCGGTAAGAGTAAGCATTAGACCGCCGTCCAATTAATTTTAGGATAACGCCTAGTTTTTAATTTGCCCACGGAGCACGCGTACGTACACAAAGGTACGCGAGTTAGTTTTGCGATTTCAAGTGCAAGTGAAGTGACTCGTTTCTGTTCTTTTCTTTTCCTTCTGTTTTTTATATTTAAGTATATACAGGGTGAATCGCGTGAAAACACGGTCGGAGTCGCGAAATAAAAGGATCATCTTCTATGACAGAAACTATACTGCTGGATACACGATATATGATTTATTTAGTATATAAGAGGGTTTTAATCATTTTCTTTCGAATAATAATCTCTATTTTACCGATTAAATCGTATTTTACCGAGGACAGTTTATCGTTTGAAAAATTCATAAAAATTGAACAATTTATGAAAGAAAAAGCTCGTCTATCTCTAAGCTTTAAAGCTGTTAATCAAACGAAAGAAATTGCCTTTTAGAATAAGAGTTTCCAATTTTATACGAAGATTAAGGCTTCAGTTGACTTTTGTATCTTTGATCATTTATTCAGTGATCATAAAATGAAGAATTTAATGCGGATCATTTCGACGATGATTCAGTTCGACGTTATAAATGACGGAATGGAGATTGGAGAATTTTATTTCGCGATTTCGTCGCACATCTTTTATAAAAAAAGTAGCTTAGCACCGTGCACCCTGTGTATACAGGGGTTATCGTGAGAGATTATTGTGCATTGTGTACTCGATGGATCCTCTTTGTACCGCTCGTGCACGCTGAACGTATTCCTGGCATAGAGTGCCTTAATAGCGCAGCCCTTTAAGGGCCGCGGCGAAGACCTACTATGTCGATCGAGGCGAAGAAGATTCTCCTCGGCCCAAGAGTTTCACGTTAAGAACGCGTTAAGACCATCGACACCGCGTTCTCTTTTCTAATTTTTCATGGCTCCGGCCTCGTATGCACGCGGACACACACACACACAAGCGGCTCTGTACGCGAATGTACACGCAGCGCGACACACACACACGGAAGAAATAAAGTTTTATCGAGCGTTTACAATGAATTTCAATCTGTCGTCCCTGACCATTCCATCGATATCCTTGAATTGTTAGACGTTTAAAAATATTTTTAAATACTGATCGATATTTCTTGACGATTCGATACATTTCCTGTCGATGTATTTATATATTATAAACATTCTGCACGTTTCCTGATTAATTCTGACTACCTCGAATCATTTTATTTTCATTTTATTCCATTTTATTCCATTTTATTCCATTTTATTCCAGCTTCTCATTTGATCTTACGAGATTGTGCCAGAATTTTTTTCTAAAAAATTTGATGGAACTGCTTTTTAAACAATTACCTCACTTGAAAGCACGTATATTGGACGACTTGTAGCAATCTTTTTTATTGCAGAATTTTCAAGAATGTCCGAGTAGCAGCTTCTCCAAGCGATGCCTTAGGAAATCAACTTTTAGGCGGGGGTGTCACTTTTGAAACGCAATTGCAGGCATTTTTTAAGATCTTGCAACTGGAAAATTACTACAAATTGTATAATAATATACTCGTTTACAAGAAATGTTCATTCGTTAAAGTCATGTTTCCGAAGTACGAAAGTCATCGGCCCTTTCTGTATGAATTGATAGTGATCGAAGTCTAGGAGGTCTCTGCTGGACTGAAATAGATGATGATAGGTCGATGATTTTAAGGATGATAAAAAAAGCTACAGGCTTGCATTGTGAAGCATAAGCCTGGAATAATACAGCACTATCGAGACGGTCTCAATGTTGCCTTGAGTTTGAATTAAGGACCAGTCTATATTTGCGCCAGGAGGAAGTAGAACGCTGTCAGACACCACGATCTAGTAGATCGTCTCGAATAATTTAGAATTTTAGCTACTGGGTGATTCTTAATAAATCGAGATTTCGTAGACAGGCGATAACTTTAATTAGTGACAAATTAATGCAGTTTCGAAAACAAAGCATATATCAAGGATTTTGTAAGGTCTCTAGATTCTTCGAGGGTTTTTTAAGGACTTCTAAAATCCTCCAAGAATTTTGAACAATTTTAAAGATCAAAAATCCTATATTTATAGTTCATAAAGAAAAGAATAGGGGTGCAGAACAATTTTCCAGCATATTTGATTATTCTGCTGCGTTTTAAGTTCATTTATTAGGGCAATTTTATGGCTGGGGAATATGCTGTGGGTACAGAATTATTCGGCACACTCTCCTGTGTCTATATCATGTCAAATAAATTTATTTATTCTCGCTAATATACACGACAGATGATTCCATCCACCTTCTTCTATAAGGTACAATGTACAATCCGGCACGAATCATCTGCTGCTGCTAATATGAAAATAGCGCCACTACATGTAGCGGAGAAACGCTCAAACTATTCGTCAAAATTATCCATCGATAATAACTATACTGCATCAAACATAACTGCAGTATTTTACTCAACATACTTCATTTGTGTTGCTTGATCTGCTCCTATACCTCGTTTGCATTAGCAGACAATCATTTGGATGAAGAAGTGTAGCAATTTGCTGTTAGATGGCGGCACTACGTCAGTTCCTATATTTTGTAATAAAACAGATAATTCGCGCCATAGTTTTCACAGTGTCTTCGCGAATACGCGGTAGAAATCAGTTGTGTTTATAACCTAACATCGCGTGTTTCTAGTGCAAGTTAAGCTTTCGTTGGGTGACAGGCAGTTTTCGGTGTTTGTAAGCTGATAGTTCGATTGCAATTGACGATTTAAAGGATACAACCGATCAGAATGGAGTGTTTAATCGGAATCAAGTTCAAAGATTTTGTATTAATCGGAGCTGATATGACCACAGCCCATTCAATCATGGTAATGAAAAGCGGTAAGAAATTTTTTAACGTTATTTTGGAGTAACGAGTTTTACTATCAAAATTATATTAAACTACATTTGCATTGTTTCCTTGTTTCAGACGAACACAAAATTCATAAAATCGCTGAGAAGCTTGTTATGGCTGTGTCCGGAGAGAGCGGTGACACGATACAGTTTTCAGAGTACATAGGAAAGAATATACAGCTTTATAAAATGAGAAACGGTTACGAATTGTCCCCAAGAGCTGCTGCATCTTTCACCAGGAGAAACCTGGCCGATTATCTCAGAAGCAGAACGCCGTACTTCGTGAATTTATTAATGGCTGGCTACGACGATCACACAGGACCAGAATTATTCTTCATTGATTATTTAGCATCGTGTGTCAGCGTCCCTTATGCAGCGCATGGCTACGGAGGCTTCTTCTCTTTGGCTATAATGGATAGGTATCACAAATTAGGTAATTATATTATTTCTAAAATGCTATAGAAATTGTCGATTGTACGAAACAGATTACATTTATCATTTTTTATTACAGATTCTACAGAGGAAGAAGCATATTCATTAATGAAAATGTGTGTGAGAGAAATTCAGAAACGTTTGATAGTCAATCTCCCTAACTTCAAGGTACAAATTGTATCCAAAGACGGCGTGAGAGAGTTGAAACCAATCACCGCGCAGAGTTTAGCAATGGAGGATGCTGGTAAAGCATAAATATGTTTTATATTTACTTTTGTAATATTGCTCTTAATCTGGGGAATAAATGCTTGTGCTGCTTCAAAATGGAAGTGGTGAATTATTGAAAAATGAGATTTTATTATTCGAAGGTCATATAATCTGTCTTATGTATAAGTATCGATGATTCATTTTGTTTTGGCAAACAAAAATGCCAATCATAGCAGAAAATTGTTTTCTAACTGAAAGCAACAATTAGATTTAGAATGAAGATCTTATCCAGCGCCAATTTTTGAACTTGAGAGGGTTCAAGTCAAAATTAGGAATTTGTTATAAGAAGGAAATACATTGCGGACAGGTAAATTCTATATTCTCCAATAGCTACTTCCTTTTGTCTTTCATTTTCTTCCCTTTTCCACTCACTCGTCGTTAGCTTCCTCCGGGCTTTCATGGATTATTTATTCTCGGTGAAACCTGTGCATTCCTATCGCCAAGACAATTACTTTAATTAGTGTCGATCGTTATCGGTGACGTTGAAAGCCAAAGGGGTAGGAGTCACGTCAACGAGACGCTTTTAAATTTTAATATGTCGACACCGCCACTGTGTACTACCATCCCCTTTTCCCGTTGATGGAAAATGTTCCCGACGCTGTTTCCTGTCAATTCTCATAACGTGTTCTGTATTTTCATCTTTCGCCTTTTAATGTACCCGATCAGAAGTTTTATTTCAATATTTTCTCGCGACTGTGAAATTATAATTGCAACACATTTAAATGTTTACAATTTCTCTTTTTAAAATACCGTTATCTCGTGTCTGAATAATTTTAAAGAGACGTTGAAAATTATGACGTGTTCTCAATAATTATCAGTTTTGTACGACGTAGTTCTGCAGTATGCAGGGGACTTTGAATTAATGAGGAGTTAATTTTACTCCTGCTTGAAACAATTAGTAATTGAAAAACCATTTTGGTCTAGCATGGAATGGAAGAGACATTCGGCTGGCACATATATAAATTATAAATGCAATTACTTGTCTCTATTCTCGATGTAATCCTCTTAATATTTTGCATCTTTGTGGAAATCATTTTGCTCATCCCCTTAACTGGCGTTAAGGCCGTTAATGACACTTACGTGTCAGACTAGCCATGTATTTTTAAACTTTGACACCGTGAAAGCAGCAAAGAATAATAATATAATTTATATAATAATATTATATTTATATTATAATAATTATATTTATTATTATAATTATTTATAATTATAATAATTATATTATAATAATATAATAATAATAATTTTGTAGTAGTAATAATAATAATATAAATAATAATAGTAGTAATAATAGTAGTAATAATAATAATAGTCTTTTTATATTCATTGACATTCTTTGCTGATTTTTGTTGCTTTTAGTATAGTAGATTTCGACGTTGTAATATCAAATAGAGGTACAAAACGTTTCTACGGTCCAGAGGGTTGAACGAATCGCCTGAGATGACGCCACCGTACACTATTCTGAGTTTCAGATCGTCATATACTGCGTTCTAGATTACTGATCCACAAAATACAAATTTTTGCATCACTGGCAACGGACAAAATTTCGACAACAAATTCTCGCCTTAATTATTTGTATACTTTAAGATATTAATTTTAACACTTTTCATACTTTAAGGTCCATTTTCACAGTAAATATATAAAATCTTCGAAAAAATGGCTAAACTTATATCGAGTGAAAAAATCGTTGAATTTTCTCGGAGATAATTTTTCTGTAATAAGTATCGTACAGGAAATATAATACTACGATATTCTTGTTCGCGTATCGTAGGACAGGTTCAATATATTATTAGAAATATTTTCTAGCAAGCCAGGAAAAGAAAGGGTGCACCACGGCGTGCCCTTTTCAAGCATCCCCGAACGAGGATCCTTTCACTTTGTATCGTTCGCCTAAGAGCATTACAACAGCTTCTGGCCCTCCAATCGGCAATGATTTCCAAATGGCATTCACGGTCCTCCGTTCGCAGTAAGTCGTAATACCGCAAATGTAGTCGATTGTAAGCGCAGATTTTCTGTGGCATCTGCCTGCAGACAGCTGTATACGAAATCGCAAAGATACGCCGCGCGTGTACCGTCTGTCTTCATTAAATTAAAAGATCGGTCAACTTCTCGCCGACGAACGTTCCGGATATATCCGATCCAGTTTCTTGCAATTTGGTCAGATATTTTCGATATTTTCGTTCCGAAGACGTTCCGACGATGCGTCGATCGAAAGATGTCGACAAAATTGCCGCAATTTATCGAGAAAATTATTCTACTATTTCGTGAAATATTTCGTGAACGCGTGGAGATCGTCACAGTGAACACTGCATCGAATATTGCATTTTTTTCAAATTTCTTAGAAATTAGACTGCGGATCTTTATGCAAAATACGAACTGCGTTAACCCTTGCCGTCATAATCTTGCCACTTTCTTCATCGTTGCAGTGGTCAGACATTCGTCGTTCGTAACAATTCCTGAAAATATGAAGAAAATTTATATTTACTGCCCACGTTTACTTAAATGCTTAAATAAATAAATAATAATAAATCTTCTCAAAATTCGACTAACACATAAACGAGAGGGTTAGTATCACAGTGGCGTGCCTCTCATTTTCCTCATTGCGAGAAACAAGGGATATTATCGTTTATCGACGCGTGTATTGTTTATTGACAATTACAATATTCTACAATTACAATAGTCTTCTTTTGACAATTTCAATATTTTTAAAATATGAAGAAAATTTATATTTGCTGCCCACGTTTACTTAAATGCTTAAATAAATAAATAATAATAAATCTTCTCAAAATTCGACTAACACATAAACGAGAGGGTTAGTATCACAGTGGCGTGCCTCTCATTTTCCTCATTGCGAGAAACAAGGGATATTATCGTTTATCGACGCGTGTATTGTTTATTGACAATTACAATATTCTACAATTACAATAGTCTTCTTTTGACAATTTCAATATTTTTAAAATATGAAGAAAATTTATATTTGCTGCCCACGTTTACTTAAATGCTTAAATAAATAAATAATAATAAATCTTCTCAAAATTCGACTAACACATAAACGAGAGGATTAGTATCACAGTGGCATGCGTCTCATTTTCCTCATTGCGAGAAACAAGGGATATTATCGTTTACTAACACCTGTATTGTTTATTGACAATTGCAATATTGTTAACATAATTTAGAGCAAAGTTAAAATTTCAAGTAACTTTATAATTCACTTCGCTCGCCTCTTCAACACATTTGTATACACAGACTACATTTTCAGGCATATGTCAAAATTTTCGAGAACGTGTCCTACGCCACTGCGATTCCAGCCCCGCGAAATGCTCAGACACTCGTAGATGTAGATCACACGCTAACAAGGTCCGGCGTGGCCCGGGCACACAGGGTTCGTACAGTTTCGTTGCCAGTTGGTATCGCTTCATTAGCGCCGGGCAGAGGTAGAGTCGCGAAGGTGACAGCCCCAGACGGCGGCGGTAATGGCCTGTACAAGTTTAAAGGACCATCTTCTAATCTATTCGAGGTTTAAGAGAGGCGCGGCCGAGTACTTACAATCAAGCTCGAGTATTCTCGAGCACAATGCTGCACTCAAAGGGGTCTCCCGCGGACGCCTTGTAGCGACATCGCTTGCCGCGATCATCTTCCACGGTAGCTTAAGTATTATTCAGAGTTACGATAAAAAGATGACGAGGCTGAGCAGAGAGCCGGGCGGCGAGGTGGCTGCCGCACCGGGCCCGGAGGTAAAAGCGTTTCCATTTAATTACAATCGATCGTTGCGCGGGAATCGCCTTCGGTGGCATCGGCGTAGGAAAGCCGGCGGTTTTATAGACGGTCAGCCGTGGCTGGTTCTTAGACCAGCGTTAAAACCACCACTCAAATTTACGGAACTTTTTTATTCCCCTCTCTCCCTCTTGATCACTTTATCTCTCTCTCTCTCTTTTTCTCCGGCTCTCTATCTAGCTCTCTCTGGCTCTCTTTCGCTCTCTTTCGCTCTGTTTCGCTTTGTTCCGCCGCCTCCGTTTCGGAGAGCTTTAAAATTTCCTTTCCGCTCCTTCGTTTTTTTCTTCCCTCGTATCATTTGGTTGAAAGATTCTTTTTTACTGGCTTCCCCGTTCCCTACCTTTGCCGGAAACCGACACAAATGTTTGATTTACTTGATGCACCGCCGCTTCATCGTTCCCGGCTCCCCGAATGTGCTTCCTCGCCCATTCCCCCGCTGCATCGCCCAGAAATCCCGTTGCTTTTTGCGACTCCTTCTTTCTTGCTTCATAAGTCAGTTGCGACTAAGACGCCAAAGCACCGCCAGATATTCCTCGAAATCTCCGACGACGACGATGTCGACGACGTCGACGACGACGATGTCGACGACGATACGCTCTCGTCCTTTGAGCCAGCGATCGTGTCCCCTGGCACGGTTTGTCCATTTTAATCACGATCGCCTATGGATCTTCGAGGATCTGCTGACAAATTCCGGGCGGTTTGATGGTGCTCTCGATCTCGTTACTCTGCTTTCGGAGAATGTGTGTACTAAGGTTCTGTCGAACGAACTGGTCGCGCTTGGTATTTATTTTGATTCGTAATATTCGTTGCGGAAAATAGTTTCGCGTAACTCGTTGTATTAAACAATGAGAGGTAAGAAGCGTTTCGAGTTTACACGCCGCCACGTCCAAGTTGTTTTTCGTAAGAAATGTTAGACACGCGAATAAATAACTTTGTAAAATTGTGTATTAAAGACAGTGTCGGTTTGATAAAACTGCAACGCTTTAAAACTGTACATACATGTTCATATAATTTTTATAATAATTCATATAATTATATAATATATCCATATAATTCTCATATAATATAATATAATCATATAATTCTCACATAATATAATATAATTATATAATATATAATATTATATATATATCATAATACAATCATATAATTCTCATATAATATAATATAATCATATAATTCTCACATAATATAATATAATTATATAATATATAATATTATATATATATCATAATACAATCATATAATTCTCATATAATATAATATAATCATATAATTCTCACATAATATAATATAATCATATAATT